TCGACGTATTATCGCACCACGCCACAGAGTATATATGGGTAGAATCCATTATAGTACTCTTGATAATTATTGTGTATTTTTAATGCTTGAAATAATAAATAATATTACTATAGTAAATATAAATAATTTATAACAAAAAGAATTTCACAATTTGTGACGGTACGATGCTGGCCCGCCTATACCCGCCCTTTGATGTTTCTTAGCATAAATCATTATATCATAATAATAATATATATTAATGTAATAGTATAAATCATGAATATGTTCATGCAGGAATTTTGCGATTAAGATCTGTCAATGAAAACTTTGTTAAACGAACAGTCGAGTGTGACACCACAGACTAGTTTGTTATCTGCGTGTCTATATAATATGGCTATATAATTGCCAAACCCTAACCTAATTTGCATCATTTTTTAAATTCAAAACCCCTAGCCTTATTCATTCACATACCAAATGGCAGCAAAAATCCGTTAGAACCTGACTGACTTAATGGCATATCCCATTTTTTGCCAAAAAAATTGCTGTGGCTCGAAAGTACTGTCGACTGTGCGTGCTCCAAATCCAGGACGGTTTAATATGGGATGCATTAGCATTAACAACTATACCCAATTTCAACATGGTGGTCAAACGGCGTTCCTCAGTTATGCGTTGACCGTAGTCAAATGTTGCACGGGCACGGACGGCCGGTAGTGGCAGGAATGGGGAGGAGAGCGAGTTTTAGAGGAGGTGGCAGGAGAGGAGAGGAGGAGGAAGGGAGGAGAGACGAGGATGGACGGAGGAGGTCGAGGAGGAGGCGGATCTTGATCTTATCATCCGTATATCACTCTCTAACTGATGATAGCCACGCGGTCCTACATCCAATAGTCACTCTCTACTGTGTGAAGCCAAGGCTCCTACCATCCATTGTCCACTCTCTAGTGATAGTCTTAACTGCACTTTCTTACTGGCCACTAAGCAGGCCTGTATAAGGTTAGTGGCATTACGGCGAGTGAATAACCAGCTAATTAATTTAGACTAATCGTTGCGTTCAATAACTCCGCCACTTCAAGAGATTTATTGCTAAGACTGTATCATATGCATGTAAAATTCTAGGAAGTAACTCATATACTTCGCGAGTATGATAGGCTAAATTACACTTTCCTACCGGCAAAACGTACTATTATGCCTGTATAAGCCTATGGGGCATTTCGCGCTGTGAAAAATTCGCTAATTATTTAGAACTTATCGTGTGTCAATAAAACTCGAACTCACACGAGAGGGAGAGCTTAAGACATTGTGTCTACATCGCATGTAGAATTCTAGAAATGATACTAACTCGATATTATACTACTTAGTACTATATATCATTATGTGTAGCGTGCCAACCAGTCGCTGCGCGAAAGCAATGGTGCGGCGCGTAGGTTGGACGTAGGATTTGCGACGACTTTACAGGAACTTGTCGGCATAAACTTAGTTGTGAAAGAGGTATAGAACATTAAGATTTGGTAGTAAATAGATTCGCTTATTTGTTTAGCCTTATATTTGCATTGAACGCTGTCAAGTGCCTGTGCCTGTGCTGATGACTTGGCACTGCGTCGAGCTCTCAGTACTATAGCGCGGCATCGTGCCCGCAGTCTGGGCAGGGACGATTATTGATCTTGCCTGGCATTCTGCCTTCATCTGGCTATACGGATCTGCTGCGGCAGCCGATCCGCAGGCTTAGTAGTACTAGAGCTAGGCACTAGCTGCAGTGGCGGCTCATAGGCGTTATTGTCCCAGCGGTACTGCCGGACGTACCCTGGGTAACGGTCTGGTATTACGACCGTACCCTGGTCCCTATTTGCATATGTGGTTAGGGTTAGGATTGTAGGGTTAGGCCGTTTAGGAATTAGGCGTTAGGTGTCGTTCGGAGTTCTGGTTAGGGAGTTAGGCGTAGGCGACTCCCTGAGACTCGTTTAGTGGAGTAAGGCGTGTACGGTTCGGCATATTAGATAGTACCAGGGTACGTTTCCGGCTATACCGGCCGTATCCAGGGTACGGTTCTGGCATGTACCCGGGGGACATATAACCGACAGGCTGGTGTGACTTACGTCAATATATTCTAACCTAGCAATTACCGTTTATCTTGGAGCTAGGACATAGAGTGACAGACCTCTCAGCGGCAGTGGGCCACCTTTTCAGTCTTTCAAATCACAGTTATAACCTAAGTACGATTTATCAGTACCTCCTGAACGTCTCAGGCGGTAGGTTACCAACGAAACGTTCATACGTTTTCTTCGACATCCGCCTATCATTTTATAACCTTCTTCACATAAAGATTAATTTCTGCATTTCACTTTCCATTGCCAGAGTAAGTGGTACAAGTATGCCACATGTGCACAACCTGTAGTCATGGCTGAATATTTATACGGCGAGTATATTGTAGTAGGGTCTCAGGGAGAGATAGCTGCAACTATAGAAATAAGTTGTGAGAATCAGTTAACCCGTAACCCTACCCCTACCCTACCCTAATTCCTAACCTAACCCTACCCCTTAATTCTAAAAATAAAACAAAATTAGCCAAAATATTAAAAACAAATAAATAAGAGACAAATTAGGCAATCAGAGCCGTCCCTAGCGGCGTCACTATCTCGGCCCATAGATATTCATCAGAGCAGATAAAGGACAATTAAAGCAGGATAGAAGACCTTCTTTTCTAGCTTTTGATATCATCAAGAGCTGAGAACAATATATAATTGTAGCAAGAGCTACAAATACGGTGATAAGGACTTATTAGCTCTTGATTGTATCAGATGTGAAAAAATGTTGTATATCAGTGTAAAATTGTATCAAGTGGAAAAAAAAATTTCGGCGGCTTTTTTGGCCATACCCCCCCCCAAAAAAAACTGTTCCTCAAATGATACAACAAAGCACCAGTAGCTAATATACACTCGCGGTGGCGGCGCGCACACACCACCCCACGTACACACACCGCAGCTCGCACGCACGCATGAACGCCGACGCACGCACAACCTGCGCACGCACGCAGGCACGCACGCACACACACCACCACACACTACCACACACAGCACACACACACCCACACACACACACACAGTCACAACCACAATGCACCATTGAATAGTGAATACATCACAGGTTCAGCTAAACACAGAACTATTACGGCTAGGCCAAATAGGTGGGTGTTTGCCTGCGGCGGATGATCGACATTTGTTTATTACGCGAGATCGTCTTGCGGCTGGGTCCTTGGGCCGCGCTTAGGGCCCTGAGCATCAGGAGCGTGTTTTTTGAAGAAAGCGCGCCCGCGAGGCACGTGTGATATTGGCTGTGCACATCGACGCTGCGCTACGCGCGCGTGCTTGCTGACAGGGGGCGCATTGCGTTGAAGTTACGGGGGGCGGGCACGGTTGTTCAGCGTGCTTTACTAATCACTTTACTTAAATGTAAGAGGGTTGGGCATTGGCTGGACTTATGAGAGAAGCGGCAGCAAAAACTCTTGTCGGGGAATGACAAAAGCGTACATTGGCGAATGAACACACGAGTGTCGCCGGCAGGGGAAAATATACGTTGGGAATTCTCATTAGGATTTTTCCAGTGGATTACCGTTCTATAATCTACGGGTCGTTGGTCCTACGGGTCTACGTAGGGCAATGCGCCAGGCACACCCGCACGCACGCATGCAGGCACGCACCGCGCGCCAGCACAAGCGCAGGCACGCCACGCAAAAAAACGCGCACCCTCACGCGCGAGGCACACACGCAGCACGCCCGCTGGCACCACCGGCACACACAGGCCAACGCAGCGCGCGCAGGCACACACGCCAAGCATCGCCGCAGGCACACCGGCACCACACAGGCACGCACGCACGAACGCCACGCACGCGCGCAGGCACACATCTGCCGAAATCGCCGCCGCCCGTGATTTTTTCCCTGCATTTTTTACAATGTATACATATATTGTATATATAGTTGCGTTCACACGCTAATATACGCGGCTTGCTAAGCACGGGCTTTGCTTAGCGCGATCGTGCCTCCCGGCTTGCTTAGCGCGGATCCTATTCCGCGCCAACTAAGCCTGCCGGTATATTCGGGCACCACGCTGGGCCGGCGTTATTTGATTGTGTTCGGGTGAACGCATTGTTCGTGTGCTTCGCGCTTCAGTGAAAAACGCATTGTTCGCTGCTGAAGTTTGCGAACTGTAGTCCTATGCGCTCTGACTAGACTGCTACCCGTTCGCTCACGACGTTAGGTGTAGGGCGTGTGGAACTGTCGACCGGGTTACCGTCTCTATTTATATTAGCTTAGCTAAGCTCGAATCTGTGTATCTCGTGGTTGAACGATTTTTACCAGAACTTAGCACCAACTACGTACCGGTACCGTAGGCGTGTAATTACGTGTGAACGCAGCTTATATATATAATCTGTATATATTGTATTACAAGTATATAAATGTATATACTTGTTCTGCTATACATAGTCACTCAGGGTGATCGCTGTTAAATTTATTTGTACCAAAAATTTATTGTAAAATTATAATGCGTGAGAGGTGCCAATTTGAAAACATGTTCCCAAGTGTCTCGTTAGTTGACGTCGCTCTTTACCGTAATATATCACACAATTCTTCTTCTATCCAATTAGTGTTGTATTTTACTGTCACGTAATGCTTAATATAATTGGACAGTTAATGTAATTCAATAGTTCAGCCATTTTATGTGCCAGCAAACAATATATGATACAATTTGAATAATTGCCATAATAATGCCAAGAAAAGCCACAAAGATGAAGAAGTCAAAAAGGAATATGATGAATCTCAATTACGCATGTTATTTCATTCTACATATGTCACCAGTATCAGCAAATATTTCAGCGTCAAATCGAACAATTAAAAAGGTCCCGGAAGAAACGACAAGTTTAGCCACCGTAACAGCAGACGACGCAAAGCTTATAGGACAACAAACGAAGTCTATCATGAGAAGGAATTTACTGAATGTTTTAATTTTCGTATTACCCCAGGGGGTGCGGGCACTCCATATATATTGCATGGTTGCGTATGTTGCCGGCGCCGGAGAGAGAACGGGGAGCCCCCTTTTCTCACCTTAACTTTTCCGTTCCAGGCATAGCAATTTTAATAGAATTCTCGTTCCAGAGCATCACAAGTTTACAATTCTCGAACATACGTCAGTTCCAGGAGCATCCCACGATTCCAACCCAACATTGCTTTCAGAGGCCCACATTTTCAGCGTCTGATGCTTAAGTTCCAGACGCCACCTCTTTTGACTTCGGCAGTGGCATATCTACCATATGTTGGGTTGATGTGCCCCTCCCCGGGGTATTAACTCTCATATCAGAGATGCATACGGAAACCTATCACGATATGCCTGGAAGATACTCGCGTGTGTGCGCATTCTGACATTGTTTTGACTTCAGCATGCTACACATTAATTTGCATCTCTACATCACTGCCATAATCCCACATGCTACTGGCTTTTCTTGGTAGTATTGCAATGCCACTTCCAACTCCTGGCATGGTGTTATTCTTGGCGATTAGACCGTTGACACAGCCGTTTTACCAACGTTTACGTGCCGCCACGTCAAGGTGTCGTAAGCCGTTGGCAACTTTGAAGTTCCTCCTTACGCTCTTTTCGCTGCACAGATGGCGAACAATCGTTAAGCTTTGAATCAGTGCAATTCTTTTTTAAGTCTTAGCAACATCTTCTTAGCTCTCCCCTTTGGTATCGGTGTTCTCTCTCTTCTCTCCCTGTCTTAATTTCATATTTTCTAATCCTGTCTCTCTTTTGAATTTCTCACAGCTCCTCTCTCTCTCTCTCCCCTCTCGCCTCTCTCTCTGAGTCTCCCTCTACTGGTCTATCTCCTTTCCTTCACCCTATCCCTCTTCCTTCCTTCCACCCAGTCCCTCTCTTCCTTCCTTCACCTTTCCCTCTCATTCCCTCCACCTTCCCTCTTCTTCCTATCTTCACCTTCCCTCTCTTTCCTTCCTTCACCCTTCCCTCTCTTCCTTCCTCCACCCTTCTTCTCTTCCTCCTCCCCTTCCCTCTCTTTGGCCTTCACCTACTGGCAGCTGCACACACCTATTGAAGGGAACGTCTCTATTGTTGTTCACTTATCGCCCACGACGAAGCTTCAACGGACAAGCTGAAATCACTACGAACACGAACACATCTTAGCTCAGCCAACCTCATTCAAAATAAACCAAGAGTCGAAGACTGCGTCCTTGGAATCTAAAGATCTACTACGAGAGAAAGGACGCGACCCTTCGTAATAAGTTCAAACGCCGTAATCGGATTACGTCAGTCGTTTGCTAAAAAAAATCGCAAGTATTCTACATCACCACATGCTAACCGACACAGGACGTGCGAACGTGCAATGCTATACGTCGTGTTAAGCAGTTAATATTATATGATATTATAATAACGCTATGATTTAACAGCGGTGTAGCAGAATATGTGTCATTCTCGATTTATGTCGCGCGTGACTCGACACGAGCTCGCTCCGGATGCGCCGCTAAGCAACCAAACGCTTAGGACGCTCGCCGTGGCGAACCGAGCGCACAACGCTCACCTCTTCTCTGACGCGCCCTCCTTTTCTTCCGTCCCCGTCCCGCGCTGCGTGACGTTGTATCCTTGACCATTTGAAGCCTGGCGACTGCAACGCTGGCTGAAGTTCCGTAGCAGCTGGTGGCGCGACCGGGGCGATCGTCTGGCCTTGTGCGTCGCCGCGGCGACGGCGACGATGACTCCTTGGGTCTCCTCCCCCTCTTCCGCTGGCGCTCTCTCGGGCAATCCTCCGTCGCGCGCGCGGTTCGTCGGGGCGACGACCTCCTCCTGCTGCACGAGACTCGGGAGTCGGGGGGGGGGAAGGTGGGGAATTTACCCCGCGAAAGAGAGAGACGGGAAGGAGAGGGAAGAGGCGGGAGGAGGCGCGCGAGCCACACCTTCCTGCGTGAAGAAGGAGGGCGGTCGGATAGAAGCCTCGGTCGCGCCTCGCGGCTGCGGAGTAGCCTCGGACGCCCGACAGCCTAGAAGGCGCGCGCCTTTCCCGCGAAGGGGTCAGAAGAAGCCGGAGAGAATTGCACCGGCGGGCTGAAGGAGGAGGTCTCGGGGAGGAGAGGAGAGGAGGACCTCGCTGGCGCGCGAAAGGAAGAGGCGAACGGCCGCGGCGGGATTTCGGTGGTGACGGGAGGGCGGGCCGCCCGCTCCACGCGGGTGCTCCCTCGAGTATTAGTTCGCTGGTTTGCTGGCGCGACACGATGGGAGGCGTTCCCCGCGCGAGAAGCAGGAGCGTTCCCGCGGCATGCGAGGTGGGTTCCCCCGCGGGAGAGAGATGGAAGCCGTTCCCGCGGCATGCGAGGTGGGCGTTACTCCGCAGGTAGAGTAGAGCAAGGTTCCCCGGTGCGTGCACAAGGAGGGCTCCTTTCGCAGAAGAGAAGGAGGTCCGCGGTGGTGCGTGCTCGTGGATTCACTCCACAGAAGAAGAGAAGCCTCCCCCAGTACACGCTGAGGGTTCCTCGCAGAAGAAGAGGTAATCAGCGGCGCGCCGGGCAGGCCATAGAAGCGTGGCGCCTACGCGGCGGGCGGGTGATCGGCACGATCACGATGGACGGTCGGCAAGTGCTCGCGAACCCGCCGCCGCCCACGCAGACGATTCTACAGCATTTCAGCGCTCGGTCCGCCTCGACGGTGACGCTGACGACGTCCGACGTGCGACGTCGCACAGCGACCCCGCACGGCGGCAGGCGGCGCCCCTGGCGAGCGTTAGCAGTCGGCGAAGGGCGTGCGCAGCATGGCATGCCGAGCGCGGAAGGGTCGCCAGAGGTCGCCGCGCCGGCGCCGGCGCTCGACGCCGACAAGCTGACGGATAGTGCATCCCAGCGAGCCGCCCTGGTTGTTGAGCGACAGCGCCACCTGGTGGTTCGGTCAGCTCCTCGGCGATGGTAGTGCCCACGAACTTCGCCACTCTAGCCGACGCCGCAGCGTCACTCGTCGCGCGCCGCTCCTCTCTGGCCCCTCTCCTTCTCCCTCTTCCTTCCTCCTACCGTCCTCCTCCTCCTCCTCCTCCTACCTGTCCTTCACCTCCTCCTCCTCCTCCGTCCTCCTCCCTCTCTCCGTCCTTCTCCCCCTCTCCTTCGGCGCATCTCTCCGTCGCGCTGCGCCGCGCGGCTGCGTGCGCGGTCCGGCGGTGGAAGTGCAGGAGTCCGAAGTGGCTGAAGGTTGCGCTGCATGCGCGGCAGGCATGCGCGGTGGCGCCACCTGGCCGGCGGGTAGTCGGACGCGGCACGTCGTCGTCGTCTCTCCCGCGTCCGGACGGAGGAGGTGGCGCGGTGCCGCGTGGTGGTTTCTCCCACGCCTGCGGAGAGAAAGACGAGAGGAAGCAAGAGCAGATGGGAGCCCTCGTTCTAAACTACTGTGTACGCCGTATTGTTCGCGTACAGATATTTTCGCAAATTCAAACATGACGCGACAATTTCGCGAGTGCTTATTTTTGCGGTCGGTGAATTATGAATTATTCGGTATTATGCGGTATGAATTAAGCGCGTGTTGTTATTTTCGCGGTTGGGGACGCGTTCGCGAAATTCGCGAAAATTAAACCACCGCGAAATATACAGCGTATAGAGTAACAAGAAGAGGTTTGCAGAGAGAAGAAGCACAAAGAGAGAAGAGGCTCAAAGATAGAAGAAGCACAGAGAGAGAAGAGGCTCAAAGATAGAAGAAGCACAAAGAGAGAAGAGGCTCAGAGATAGAAGAAGCACAAAGAGAGAAGAGGCTCAAAGATAGAAGAAGCTCAAAGATAGAAGAGGCTCAAAGAGAGAAGAAACACAAAGAAAGAAATAGTTAGAAGAGAGCAATACGAGGCTCGGAATCTTCTTCAAGAAATTCCTTTTCTTCTTTCAAAAATCTTCTTCCCTCTCCGTCTCTGACATGCGGTAACTCAATTTTCGCGTGTCTTGCTGCAAAGTCAAAGTGCCGCAAAAGATTTTGGCATGAAGAAGAGCAGAAGAAAGAAGTAGACGAAGAAAGACAAAGAAGTAGATTGAAAGAGGAGCAACGAAAAGAGAAAGTGGTACAGCCAAGATGGCGTACGTCGTGACAATCTGCGATAAATATGCGCATCCCTGGCGAAGAGCTTATCACGTATTGTTCTGCTCTCACCTTCGCTCTGCCGTCGCTTTCCCCGGCCGCTTCGTCGACGGAAACCGACCGCCGCTTTACACGCAACGGTGGCGCCCTCTGACCCCAGCGCTTGTTGTAGACGACGCCGATGACCTGCGAGCACTCGTTCGCGCCGGCGCCCCCTGGTGCATCGCCGGCGCCCCCTTGCGAGTGCTCGCTCGACACGGCGTCGCCCTGCTCCGCGATGCAATCGTCGCAGCGGAAGGGGGCGCCGTCGTCTCCCGCAAATTCCCTCGTCGACACCAGGTGGCAGACGTCGCAGACAACCCTGCGATCGGCGTCGTCGTCCACGGCTTCACCCGGCGCCCCCTGCTGGTCGCTCGGCGATGGCTCGGCCGCGACGTCCCGGCTGCCGCCTCTCTCGGACGTTGCCGTTGATGACAGAGTGCCGGTGTGCGACAAGACCTGTGAGCGACAGAGAGAGGAAACTCCTGATGGGTTTCTGTTCTACAGGGATGCTGCAACACCTAAAGATTAGCAAGATTTATCAATCAACTCTCTGTTCTACTGACGGCCCGACATCCGAATCGGAATAATTCCCACACCGTTTGCCCCAACCACATTTTGCCGTGCACTCGTGAAAGTGTAAAACGCAAGTAAACAAAGTCGGACTATACTAATGCTGGAGTATAGGATATACACTGCCAACTATAATAATATAAACGCGATAACAAAATCATATATCTTGCTACAGCGACCGACGGCGTTGGCGACACCACCTACCTTGATCGCGAGTGCCGCATGGCAGAGGTCGTAGTGCAGCTGAAGGTCGCGACCCCCGGAAAACGCGGCGGCGTCCGGACATAGGTGGCAGGCGTAGCTCGGCCGCGTGCACAGGTGGCGCCGGTGGTCGGCATACCCGGCGTCGCCGCTGTAGTACGTGCGCCGGCACAACTTGCACGAGATCGGGTCCATGACGACCCACGACATGTCGCCAGGGGGCGCCGCCGACACCTCTGCGCGCGGGAGGAGCGAGAGAGACAGTTGAACGTTAGTTTAGTTAGTTAGTTTGATTAGGGGGGGGGGGTTTGTACAAATTTTAAAGATTGAAGAATAAACAGGATATATTTATATATATACTACTATTGTTATTGCCTCCAATGCCTTGGTGTTTAATGACTAAACCTACAAACCTTGGAGATTGACGGATAAACTATATATTTATGAGGTGAATAAAGTGTCAATTTTTTATATATTAGAATTATTCATTAACTATATATATACATATAAATATATACCTGCTGTTTTTTGCTGTCCTGCCGGTGCCACCACGGTGCACGGAAAATCTTCCTTGCCGTAGCATTTACTGCATCTGTAGATGATTAACAATACATTAGTAGTGAGTATGATTAGTCACTCACATATCACGTTCCATCCTCCTGCAGTTGTCACGACGACCGTCAAACCTGAGCGCAGCTAGCTCCCTCTGCTGCCGCAGCAGCACCACGAATGTCATACCCACAATATTATGTAAGGTGCATGTAATATATGCAAGATCACAATCTCACATAATGTGATATAATATGCATATTGTATATACACGAATGTAAGCTCACATATAATGTATACTATAACATGAACATAAATTATATAGATGAATGCAGCTCACATTATATTATTGATATGGAGACATACTAATATATAGGCGATGATATTGCAAAGCGCACTGCATTATATATATATAACTGTAGAACATAGTAATTATGAGATGGATGTATGTCCTAAATTATACTATACTATCATTATAATACATACTCATAGCATAATGCAGGGCTACATATTATGATAAAATAGTGTATAATATGACTGTAGGTATTATATACAGCATATTATTTACACCTCAGGGGTCGAACTTAGCAGTTATCCCGATATCTGCCGAGATAGTAGATCTCTTGTGTTGGATACAATTTCAATGCTTTGGTATCCCGCCCCAGCGATAGTAAAAAAAATGGTCAAATCGCAGATAGGTGCGTTTGCTTGAGCTTATCAAACTTTAGTACGGCAGCGCATCTGAGCAAGTGGCCGCGATCTGGCGGGCTCAAGGGCCACCTTACGTCACACTAAGAGTATACAGCAGGCATGCATATTTTGCAAGCATATTGTTGGCAAGAAGCGGATGATGATCCATGAAATGTGTGGTGTGTCACATTGTGATCAAGCGACCAGACAATCGTCTGCCAGTGGCGGTGAGAGGGTATGTAACATGGAACGCTAGCGATGGAGATTTTGAAGGGACAAACAATTGTGTTGAAGTACTATCCAAAAAATGGCGGATACCAGGATCTTCAGAGGGGATAACCGATTTCACATACCTGGTATCCGAAAGATACCATAATAAAATATGCGAAGTTTCACCCCTGGTACACACATATATAACAACAAACAGACTGCGCCCCACCTGTAGGACGTCGAGCGCGGCTGCGTGCGTATGTCGATCATGTAGATGGTCGCTGGCTCCCTCTGGCAGCGGTCGCACGCGCGCGCGACCTTGCGTCTCGTCTCGGCGGACGCCGAACCAGCGGGCCGACACGGCAACGCACGGCGTTGCCGTCCGCGACGACAGATGGGCCACGCCGGCGCTTGCACCGCCAGGTCGATCGCGAGCTCCGTTGTCGCCAACTGCCAGCCACTGCTGGCACCACCCCCCGCGCGCACCGGCCACACGCAGGGCCCGGGAATGCCCTCGTCCTCTGCAACCGGCGACGCCGCCCCATGGGCGCGCTGGTCGGATCAAGGATGGCGACTGGAAGTTGAAGGACGGATTAGCCGTGACAGGCCACATTGAATATCTTACGATATTTATTGAGGGTGTGTGTGGAGTGTAGGCGAGTAGTGGTGGTGTGGTAGTTCGTTGTGGTGTCCATAATAGAGATCTCTTAGAAAGAATCTCTATAGATATGCTCTATTATGGGACTCTCGACACATATACATAGATCTCACGGTGCATCTCGTTTCACACAGTGCTGCTTGCAGCCGATTGCGGCCATTACTGACCACATGGGCACTACGACGCGATCCATGGGTAAGCTACAGCGTTTACGTTAAGCTCTTACTACACCGCGATGCATGTACTGCTACCGCTTTACGTTAGCCTCTACTACACACGCGAGTCATGTAAGCTAACGTTTACGTTAACGCTCTACTAGCACCGCGATCATGTAAGCTACACTGTTTACGTTTAAGCTCTTACTATCACCGCGATCATGTAAGCATGAAACGTTTACGTTAAGCTCTAATACACGACGGAGTCGCGTAGAATGCTAACGTTCTACGGTAGTGCTCTACTACATCGGCGATCGCGTAAAGCTAACGGTTTTACGACTCTAAGCTCTGGCTACACCGCCGATCGCGTAAGCCTAACGTTTACGTTAAGCTCCTGACTAACGCGATCATCGGTGTAAGCTAACCGTTTTATGTTAGCTACTAGCTACATACAACGTTCAGCCTAACGTTTACGTTCAAGCTCTACTACACGCGATTCGCGTAAGCTAACGTTTACGTTAAGCTCTACTACACGCACTCGCGAGCTTAACTGTTTACGTTAAAGCTCTACTACACGCATCTTGCCCCACGCTGGTGTAAGGGCTAACGTTTACGTTGAGGCTCTACTACACCCCGATCGCGTAAGCTAACGTCTTACTTAAGCTTACTACCACCTGCATTCAATGCTGCTAATTGCTCTAACGTGTGTTATGTTAACTGCGTGGCGGAGGGCTGACACAGCGCGATCGCGTAAACGCTAACGTTTAGTTAGCTCTACTACACCGCGAATCGCGTCATGCTAACGTTTACGTTGAAGCTCTACTACACTCGCGTATCGCCGTAACTACACTTTACGCTTAAGCTCTACTACACGCGATCAGTGTAGATACGGTTTGACTTAGCTCATTCTACACGCGCGACTAGCGTAAGATTACGTTATGTTAAACGCTCTACTCCATCGCGATCATGTAGCTAAACGTTTACGTCTAAAGCTCTACTTACACTACGCGACTCGGTAAGGCTAACGTCTTACCGTGAGGCGCTCTACTCACGCCGATCGCGTAAGCTACGTTTCACGTTTACGCTCTCACTACACGCGATTTCACGTAATGCGAACGGTATTACGTTAACTCTACTTTCACGCGATCGATGTAACTGACCGTTTACGTTAACTCTACTACAGTGCGGCGCCCGATCATGTAAGCTAAGGTTTACGTTACAGCTCTACTACACGCGATATGTAAGCCTAACGTTTACGTAAAGCTCTACCTACACGCGATCTCGTAAGCAACGTTTACGTTAAAGCTCTCTACACGTAATCATCGTAATGTTAACGTTTACATCCTGACGTGTAACGTCTTATGTGCGGATGACTCGCGTTCGTCTACGAGCGACTCGTTCGCCCTCTCCTCGCTCCGCCACGCCTCGCGCGCTCAACACTGCGTCGGCTGCCGTCACTTGCGCTCTTGCGACTCCCGCGCTGGCGCTCGTCACTGTGTAGCCCCGGCCAGCTTGCGTTAGTCCTTCGCAAGCGTGCGCCCATGGGCTGGTATGTCGACGATCTCCGCACCCTGAGAGAGGAAGGGAAGAAAGGAAGAGCGAAAGTCCTCCTCGTTAGACGCCCGTTTTTTGTTTTCGGTATGAAATCGACAGGCAAGCTCGCTTTCACGCCGTTAGTACGCGCGGCCCGTTCGCCTTACCCCTTGTGCCTCATCTAACCTACGTTTGAATACGTACCCTTCGTGCATAACTTTTCTCTTTAATTAAACTTTTCACTGGTTTAATTACCAGCCTTTTACTTTAGTTTATCATTTGGCAGCATCTCTATCCTCCATAACCCTTTACCTATATTGCTACTCTTCACTTCCGCCTACCCTGTTGTAAACGTCTATATTTGTGCATGCTCTCAGCATATTCGCGTACCTTTGGCACCTCGCTCCCTATTTTGTCTTCCCTTGTGCGATGCTTCCTATATTTGTCTACCCTTCGTGCCATGCTCCCTTATATTTGTCTACCCTTGCTGCATGCTCCTATTATTTGTCTACCTTGTCATGCTCCTATATTTGTCTACCTTGTGCATGCTCTCTATATTTGTCTACCTTGTGCATGTCTCGTCTATATTGTATCTACCCTTGTGCATGGCTCTCTATATTTTGTCTACTTGTTGCATTGCTCTCTAGATTTGTCTACCCTCTGTGCACTGTCTCTATATTCACCTACCCTTAGATATGCCTAAATCTATATTTAATTCACAACCTGTGTGAACCACTCTATATTTTTCAATTACCTTTGCTACTCGATATTTATTCACATAACCTTGTGCCTACTCTAATATTTTACTTGCACCTTACCATTGGGTTGTGCCGCGCTACTCTATATTTATTCACCTACCCTTGTGACCTCGTGTATATTTATCACATAGCGCTTTGTTGCTACTCTATATTTATTCACCTACGCCTTGTCCTAGCTCTTATATTTATTTCACTACACTTGTGCCTACGCTATATTTATAACTATCTTGTGCGCTATCTATACTTATTCACCTACCCTTGCTGGCTACTCCTATATTTTTCACCTACCCTTGTCCTACTCTATATTTTATTCACATACCCTTGTGCATACTCTCGTAGTGTTTCTGCAGACCCGTCTTGACGGTGAACGACTTGCGCGGACATTATTACGGCTTCATGTTGACATGGCGACGCAGGTGGCACTTCAGCGCCCCCATGAGACGGAATCGCTCGCCGCAGATCTTGCACAGGTACGGTCGCTCGCCCGTGTGGATGCCTGCGCGGCGGCGAAGAAACACAAGTCAGAGGGCGGCGTCAACAACAAGTTTTTTTCTCATTTTTTTTTTCGTTTTTTTTGTTATTTTCACGTTTGTCAATTTATATTTTGGTTGTCTTTTTTTCGTCCGTTTATGACAACTGACATGTGACGTGGTCGAACAAGATTTTATATTCTTTCAAGTTAAGCATGCAGAAGCACGTACGTTTGTACATTTATTAACGTAGTTAAACGAAATTTTATATTATTTCAGGTTGACGTTACACGTTAAGCGTGCGGACGCACGTACGCTCGTATATTCACTAACATAATTAAAACGAAATTTTACATTCTTTCGGGTTGACATCACAAGTTAATCTCGCGCGCGTGGGGAAGCGCGTACGTACGTTCGTGCATGTTGCGGTAGACAGGCCGCGTGAACATTTTGCTGCAGTAGCGGCAGGGCACGGTCTTCTCTGTGAGGTGGGCGACCTCGTGCCTCCTCAGCTCCCTCTGTACGGCGTAGACCACGTTACACTGCGAACACCTGCGATACACGCGCGAGGCGAGGCGATTCAATTAGAAAATTAATTAATTAAACAAATTAATTAGAAAAATTTTGAAAAAAAATTTAGGAAAGAAAATTTAGGAAAAAAAATTTGGAAAGAAAAATTTAGAAAGAAAATTTAGAATTTCCTTTAAATGAACTGTTATGTGATGGTGATCGCTATTCACACGTGCGGGGTTCGGTGTGTGTCTGTGTGCGTGAATGTGTGCGTGCGTGTGTGCGTGTGCGTGCGTGTGTGGTTACATGCATGCAGGATTACCGGCAATGCACGAAGCAATTTAGAAAGCACATTTCTTCTAAATTAACCGTTACGTGACCGCGACCGCTATTGAACACCAGTATATGCACAGTATATGCGTACCAGTACGTGCAACGAGTGTAAAATTTACGAGTCACGGACCCCAGGAGACCATTTCCAACACGGATACCATTTCCCGGAGGAACCATTCCATTTGGACACGGGGGCCCCCGGGTGTCCGACACGCTCGGGCTCGTCCGCTCACGCATTTACTCACTTGTAGGGCTCCTTGCCTCTGTGCACGACGAGCACATGTAGCTTGAGGTCGTTGACGCCCTTGCAGGCCGCGTTGCAGCCGCTCTCCTTGCACATGTACGAAAACTCTCCGTGCGTCTTCTTGTGCTCGGCGAGTTCCGGCCGGCTCCTGAACTTCTCCTGCGCGCAGGAAACGGAGAATTTTTTTTTAAACACGACGGGAGCGTCGAGCGGCGGCGAGACAACGCCATTGGTCGGCGATGCCGGGCGCGCGATACTGATCCGCAAAATGTATTCGTTAAGAATGGCCGACATATGTTGAGAACGGCAGGAGGACGCACATACCTTGGGCTGCATTCGTGATACTTTTCGACTTACTTTGGATACGCTAACTTTATCCTAGTGTGGGTGGAAACCCTGACCATGACTCTAACCCTTACTTTATCCTAGTGTGGGTGGAAACCCTGACCATGACTCTAACCCTAACTTTATCCTAGTGTGGGTGGAAACCCTGACCATGACTCTAACCCTAACTTTATCCTAGTGTGGGTGGAAACCCTGACCACGACTTTAACGCTAACTTTATCCTAGTGTGGGTGGAAACCCTGACCGTGACTCTAACCCTAACTTTATCCTAGTGTGGGTGGAAACCCTGACCATGACTCTAACCCTAACTTTATCCTAGTGTGGGTGGAAACCCTGACCGTGACTCTAACCCTAACTTTATCCTAGTG